TGCATATTCGTTTGATCCTGCTAAAGGGATACCTTATCAAGGTAGTCTTGTGCTGACGGGGAGAGAAGATGTGATAATGAAGACACTGTCCTGTTCAGGTAAGTTTTTTATAAACAGATAGTTGAATTGATCCACCAGGGCGTCCACTAAGCAATTATCTTTCTCTTCTACAGACGTAAGTGTTAAATTTAGTAAATATGTCAGTAATTACAACGATTTTAATGATGCCAACATCAATGAAATACTAAAAATGTGCAGGTATTTACCGCAGATGTTGATAAGAATAAGGAAGACAGCACAATAATGTAAATAATTTTATTATTAAATTAGGTTAAAATCTTATGAACTTGAAAGTTACGTAATTCTAAAGATGAAATGGATAGACAGCTAATTATATGTCCTGTTTCGATTGTGTAAAAGGCGTAGAAATAAAATATGCTCAAATTCAGGTGTATTTAATAGCAATATCTGTGAAACCGATCGTGTAGAAAATATGACTTGTAGTTTACCAGCATTAAAAGTTCTTTGAATTGATTTTCTTAACTTGTTAGTAATTATTTCAATAGATGTGTCATCCTTCAATTGCAGTCGCACATATTATCTAAAAACTTTTTGTTTACAGATGGAGAATAGTCCTTTTCTGCTTTTTTGGTCATGCGTTTCCTTATGAACTTTTCTGAATAGCTGTTTCCAGTTAAAGTGTCATATGCGATCCTTAGTTCATCTTCAGTTACCTTTTCTGAGCATATAGGTCTAATCCTGTGGCTGAGGGTCCTTACTAAATTTCTTTTGTACTGGAGAGGAACGAAGCACATAGACAGGACAATATACACTACCGATGATGACTCGCCAATTGAAAGATGAAGTACCTAGACTAGTCACTTCCAATTGTACCTACCAATTCAGCTACTCATGTGGAGCGAGTTATATCGGCAGTTGCTCTAGGAACTTCATCTTTCGTGCTCATTCGGGAACATATACCAGTATGGCTAAGTAAAGGTGTAGTAAAAACCATCAATAGTTCGATAATAGACCACCTGGTCCAAACAGGCCGGCCACAAAGCTAGCATTGAAGAAACCTTCTCCATCATCTACCAGGTACCAAATAAATTGCAAAAAACATCCAGTCACCGCATATTCCAAACAGCAGAGGCTATCACGATTCGCCTTAAATAACTGGTGCTCTTTGTCCAGAAGAAGCAAGTCCAACCACTACTGCTGCCATGGCCGACCTTAAGTGGAGTCTATAAATTCATGATTTTGTATCATTATCTTTCCTAATTTTTCTGATATTTAGTGTACTGTTATGTTGATGCTATCTACCTGTAATCCACTGATATTATTATTATTGATTCGATGTTATTTAAACAAGATTAATGTTGTTAGTAACATTAATTCATTCATTCACTATTATGTATATATAACTGTAAAACCTGATGATGAAGGCGTTATCGGAAAAAATATTCTTTGTTCAGTAACCATTCTTTTGAAAAACATTTTACCGGGTATTTTAATCAGTTAACTTTTTTTTACCGATTCAAATATTTTGAATTATCCACAGAGTGATACGTACAGAAGACGGCAATATCTTAAAATTTAACAAGTATTTGACGACAATAATGCCGAAATCACACCATATTATTTCTACTACTTTAATAATTTCTTTTTTTTCACTTAAGATTTAATTTGTAACACGTAAATTGAATAATGATACAGTTCAATTAAGCTCAATTTTACAGGATCAAACAGTGCATCGGTGGCACAGTGGTTAAGACTCTCGCCGACCATGCACATGGTCCGGGTTCGATCCCCTGCCGGAGCACACCGATATCTATGGTCGGCCTGTAAATTTGGGCTACCGATATCCATGCTGAAAATTCCATACTTGTACTGAAAATACGGTGTGGAATCAAGCTGTAATAAAAATAAAAATAAAATTCATATAGTTCACTTTCAAAGATGCTTTTGAAACTGAAAATGTTTATAAATTGTACATGAATTTATTCATTTACCTTTGTGTAAGACGACATCGTTTTGTCAGAGATACAGTAGATTTCTTTTAAGTAAACCTGCCAAGTTTAGTGAAGTATATTAGAGATTTTATTTTGGTTGATGGTGATTAGATTAGCCTTTTGTCTCAGTTGTAACTCACCAGCTAGATGTACCTACATTCCCAGGAAGTGATGGTGTTCCCAATGAGACTCGGAACTTGCACCCATCGTTTCAAATGCCAAAAACTAAGACATTAGGGATTACTGAAATGGATAACTTCGTTTTGAAATAAACCTGGATGATAAGACATTCACGATCAAAATCACAACTTGAAGAAAAACAAACTATGATCACTCATATTCAGAGCCACAAATCGTTACTGCTAGAATGACTGCCTCCAACTTTGGAAGTCATTCCTGCACACAGTCTAGAGTAAACACATTAAGAGTCATTTCAAAGTAAATTTTATCACGAATGAAATATGTATTTCGAAACCACCGGAATCCAAAAGCAACTGAATGGCTGTTTTATCCTTCTTTGGATCTCTCAAACGGTGCACAACAACGACATCATTTGACATGAAATCCTGGATCTTCAGATTACGAGGAGAATACATTTGTTACTCAATGAACGTATTGAAATGCAATGACCCAGGCGTTCTATCTTCTACCAGAACGTAATCCAATGTTGTTCGTGAATAATTTACATTACACTCTATTCGGTGAACCCCCTAAGTCAAGAATTCACACTATGCCTTCAAGAAGTACATCTAGAAGTTAGTCACTAATGAGTGATAATTTAATATTCGGAATTTGAGTTATCGTTAAGTAACTTCAAAAATGATTTCTTCACTAAATGATGATGATATTATATCGCGAATTTGACAGAAGTTAGAATCCATAAACCATTAAATCCCAATGCAGTGACGAGATACTGAAAATGTTCACCTAGTAGACTGAAGGTTTTAAATTCTATCTAGGGTGAAGTCACTGGTACTCACGGTTGAAGAGTTCTAAAATATGAAGAAACAGCTACCTTCTGCTTCCTGGTTGTGAATTCTTTTCTCGACGATACCCAACAGCAAGTCAGTCGAATTCATGTAAGCCCAAAATCGGAATTTTAAGATCAAATCAATCTCAACTTCACCATAGTTGAAATCAAGCTGAATAAAATAGATTCGGTTAGTCTGTCTAATCGCTGTTGTCGAAATCACAATAAAATTCTAACAAGGCTTTCTCTCAGCTTCAACTATCACTTCTGTATTGCAGAAATTTACTGAAGCGTATCAATCTAATCGAGAAGAATAAGACAGCACCTTCTCAAAGGTTTATTTCACTAACATTATCTGAAAATTGTTTTCATTTAACGATAAGATTTTATGCTATAACAAAAAAAAGTGTTACTGCTAACCGTGATATATTTGACAAATAAAAAAGAATGTTGTGAACAAACCACATCCAAAAATTGATTGATAACTTTTGGCTCACATTTTAACCTTCGCTTACTTATCTGCACATACAGCTATTCTAAATACTTTATCGTAGAATTGGTTAACGGATTTGATTGACATTGTGTTTTTTTTGTTTTACTTTTCTGTAGATGACTTTAGGCACTATAACGCCAAAGAATAAGAGAGATTCACGTCTGTCAGTTATGCTAAAATTAGATGGTATTCAACTATATATATTGCGAATAATCATGTGTAGTTGTGAGTTGTTTTGAAGTAAAGTGTAATAGCTTATTACTATGAAAGGAAGGCAATATGCTGCTTATTACAGTAAAATCTTTTCTTGTTTCCAACGTCTCAGCTTGTTGTGAATTTTAAATGGTTCAGTCAAAGAAGTGTTGATTTAAATAGGTGAGGATAAAAGTCATCGTAAGGTATTTTCGTGTACACTATAGCAAATGACGCAACAGATACGCCAGCTATGTAAAAGCGAATCCATAAAAAAGCACTTTGAAAACATGGGGGATTTCATCATGAGCTGACATCAGTTAGAGAACCACTGGAAAACCTGGGAGTACTGGACAGTTGTTTCTGTAGTCCTAGTTTGGGACTCTTCAGCAGTATGCACCCACCAACGGGGTTCGAACCCAGGACCTTCTGGTTACAAGGCGAGCTCGTAGACCATTGAGCCACCAATACTTTGAAAACAGTTAAATATAACATTTAGAATGCTTAGAGTATTCCTCTACAGAAGTAATACAAATTCATAAAGGCACATGAATAATACCGACTACTTGAATAATTTCAAATCCTAATTAACTCCCTCTATTCTGTTATATCAAGGAGACGAAAATAAAAGGAAGGGAAGTTTGTTTGCTAATTTCATATATCTTAACTAGTTCTAAGCGTTCTTTTATGCATTTTCATACACAACTAGAATATCTGCTGGCGCCGTTTGCTACATGTGTGTGAAAACACATTGCAGTAACTTTTATCTTCATCCAGTTTAAACAGTGTAAAACTGAACAAGTATACATAGAAGCCTGCTGATATTTTTCTTTTTTTCTGGGTGAAAAAAAAATAAATGTAGTGTGGGATTTTAGGCCAATTTAAGCTATAAGCATAGGAGTGCGACTGCACCAATGTCCTTGGAACGCTCAGTAGGCAAGTTAGTGAAATCAGTTAAATAACACTATACTCGTAGATAAAATATGTTCAATGAAATGCTATAGTATCAAACGGGATATTTGACAAGGTTTAGGTTAGGGCTTGGGAAAAATTCAGTTCAGTTTTAGGACCTTAAAGCTGCAGCTTGAAGTCTTGCATTCCACTCAAAACGTAAAGGAACAAAATAAACAACAAATAATAATAATAATTAACGGAGTTAGTAACTGAAGGTGACCTTAAGTGCATGAACAAATTCAAATCCGTACACTGGAATCCGCGTGATAACGAAATATTAATGTATGAAAATATAGACTCAATACAAATTTTATGCCCCCTTCTTCTATCGGCTTTTTTTAGGTGTCATTTCGAAACAAAATGACAACAACAGCAAGAAATGTCATCAAATTTCACATTAGCTAATATGATCATTCCATCAGTTAAAGCTCCTTTTATGTGCATCATTTCAAAATTACGCCTACAAATGTGGTTATTATCAGTTTCTCTGATCAGTACACAAGTGTTAATACCTTTAAGATCTACAGAAGATTCAGATATGGAGACGAATAACCGTGCGAAAGTTCAAGAATATTGGAGTGACTAAAACAAAAGTTGCAAATATCGTTATAACCAACCGTTAAAAGAAACAGATTTATCTCATCTCATAATATTCTTTGAATTTCGCCCTTCGAATTAATAAAATCATACCGTAATCTTAATTTCTTGTTGTATTTTCATTAGATAAAACTTCAAAAATGGCTTTAAATCGATTGAAATAATTGAATACTTGAGACAAACAACATAAAAACTAGAAACAAACAAAGAACTAACCAAGAACCTATTGCTCAACAAATATGTAGAAGAAAATGGAGATGAATAAGGCACGCGCTGAGCAGACTGCCCAATGACACCGCGCACCAGGCCATCACTCGACTGGAGCTCAAATTGGAAACGATAATTTCGGCGTCCGAACGTGAAACTGGGGAGATAGTTTGACGAGGAGATGAGAGACTATAGGGTCAGAAGAAGAGGATTGCAGAGAACACGACAGAATAAAGACATGCTGTTGAAGCCCTGTGTTCCAGTAGGAACGCATAAGAATCAGTACAAAAACTCCGGTATACCTCAGAACCCTTGTTGCTCCAGATCAACAATCATTAATTAAAGTATTGGTTTGTAGGGATTTGGTTGATTGGTTACAGGATTTCATCATAAGCTGACATTAATTAGAGAACCATTGGAAAACCTGGGAGTAACGGACAGCTGTTTCGTCAGCCTAGTTTGGGACTCTTCACAGTACGCACCCACCGGGGTTCGAAACCAAGGACCTTCTGGTTACAAGCCTAGCGAGCTCGTAGACCATTAAGCCACTGGGACCCGATCCAATGGCCAGCCCATGAATTCTAACTTCTGCCAATTGACGATATAGCGCAACCGCTAGCCAATGTCTTCGGCGAGTATTTGTCCTTCACAACCAACCTGCTGCACCCTACAGGTCACGACTTCCCACTGGAACCCCAGGTAACTACCTACCTGAATAGGGCCAGTCACCAGTGAGCGTCTCACTCATATTCATGTGCGTCGGTGGCACAGTGGTTAGGACTCTCGCCGACCATGTACATGGTCCGGGGTTCGATCCCCTGCCGACGCACACCAAATATCTATGGTCGGCCTGTAAATTTGGGCTACCGATATCCATGCTGAAAATTCCATACTTGTACTGAAAATACGGTGTGGAATCAAGCTGTAAATCAAAAAAAGTAGGTAGTTACCTGGGGTTCCAGTGGGAAGTCGTGACCTGTAGGGTGCAGCAGGTCGGTTGTGAAGGACAAATACTCGCCGAAGACATTGGCTAGCGGTTGCGCTATATCGTCAATTGGCAGAAGTTAGAATTCATGGGCTGGCCATTGGATCGGGTCCCAGTGGCTTAATGGTCTACGAGCTCGCTAGCCTTGTAACCAGAAGGTCCTTGGTTTCGAACCCCGGTGGGTGCGTACTGTGAAGAGTCCCAAACTAGGCTGACGAAACAGCTGTCCAGTACTCCCAGGTTTTCCAATGGTTCTCTAATCAATGTCAGCTCATGATGAAATCCTGTAACCAATCATTAATTAAGTTGACAACTGTCAAAACTTAACTTGTATATTCTTATGCCTTTATCTTAATCATGCTACGTCGACATTTCACTTGGTAATATTTTAACATACTTAACGACAATATTTACTGCTCCAGAATTGTTGTTCATAAAATATTACCAAGTGCTGTTTAATCAAACCCCAATGTTCTCATCCTGTCACTTCACTGAAGTGAATATTTTTCAATGTCACCTGTAAGAAGATATGCGTTGGTTGCATAAGCTTGGCTGCCGGTGGAATTAGACTATTTGCCGATGAAAGTGTTGACATAATGAGATAAATACAAAATAAGTGCCCTAATTCTGTGTCTGGAGGTCAATAATTAACTAATCTTTCAGGACTGTTCCGTTTGACTAAGCAAATAGTACTAATAACTAAGTTATTACTTCTCATCAGCTACAGTTATATCAGTTCCAAAGTACCTTTTTCTCCGACAGATATATTTATGCTCAGCAAATTTTATTTTCTGTTAGTATCCTCACCTAACCGAGTCTTCTTTCATTCTTTTGCGTTACGAGTGGAACAGAGCCCCAAGCTTTGAAGCTTCACTAGCAGTAGTGTGTTTTGCGGTATGGAGTTGCTATTCTCACGCCCAAACTTGCCTCTAAGCCAAGCATACTACTGGCTAAACGATGTTCAGGAGTGCACCGGCAGTGAATCGAACCTGAAACACGTGCATAGTTGGCGAGTATCCTACCACTGAACCACCGACTCCTTTAATCGAGCTTTAAGATTACGAATATGAGCTACACATATTGCACATTACGTCAAGTATGACATTTAAATTATCTCAGTTAACCAAAGAATCTATAGATGGAGCATGAATCAGTGAAGAGTTCAAGCATAAACTTGATAACAGTGGTAAATTAGGAACAACTCAATAGGAAAAAAGTTTATAGAATCTGAAGTGAGTCCTTGAAGAAGGAAATTTCTATACCAATGACATTTATAATTAGTAAATATACATTTAAGTAGTGATACCAGATTTGCAGGTAATTAAGTGTATCATGACTGAAATGTCTAAAAATTTAATTAACATGGAATTGTATATTAAAATATTAACACAATTATTGGAAAAAGCATAGTCACAAATAAACAAGAAACAACAAGCAAATGTTCTCAAAGCACAAAATCAATATGCTCATTATTAACAATAGAAGGATGAAAACTTCCCACTCTACTTTCATGTACATATATTGATATAGACGTCACACTGAAATCTACATTCTGCATATCAGTACAAAGAACTTATTAATGACAGTACCAGTTGTATATCACACTGAGAATTATATACTAACTAGTAATTGATTAAATAGAGTATAATTATATTTTAATAGTTTACACACAATGATAAGTTTTGTTATTGGTAATATTTCGAGCAAAATTACTGCCCGTGTTCACACCACTGTTGGAATTGTTTGATTATTCCGTTGATACGTTGAGAAATCAGTAAAATCTACATGAAACGTAAATTTTAATTGTTTTACTGCTATAAAAAATCTTGACTAACTTCGTATCATGCATCTCTTCACAAAACTCTGGCAGTTCAAATCGCCACACTTTCGGGAATCATACATAAAAGTGTAGGTAAGAAATTGAGTGGAACTGCAATAGACAAAGATTAGTGAAGATTTTCAGGACGTGAATGATGAAAGAAATGAATACGTTTGCGTAAATGCAAATGATTTTGAGCCATATTATCAACTTTCTCCAGTTACTGGTTCCTAGTATACTGAGGAACCCCTTCAAACATCATACACCCCTTCCCAAAATGGCTCAAACTAGCAGTCGTTACCTTCATAGATTAGTACTATTTTTTTTATTTTGACCACATACGAAAATTTTCCAACTTAATCATATTGCGGCTAACACCACTTTTCGAGGAAGATAGTGATTCAACATTCCTAGCACATTTCTTTAGGTATCTCAGAAAATTCAGCCTTACAGTATTATTCATAGACATTCTCTGCCGATCTAACTTCATCATTAATGACTATTCTACTCTATCTGACGCGACAAATTGAACGAAGACATTCATAGCCAAAAACCGTTAATCTTTCCATATCTTCCACTTTAAATGGCTATTTCTCACAGTTGCAAACTACTACAGAGTGAGTTGTTGCATAATAAAGACATCCTTTGATGAATAGCTGGGTATCTACTAGCCCTAAAGATGACGTAAGTTAGAAAATCTTAAATGATCCTTGTGTATTTATGTTAAGATTTCATCAGAAACCAGTTCACGTGGGCTGGCGCAACTTCCGAATTGAATGGAGTGGTCAGTACATCCAATCACTTAACTCCCTATTTTTAAACTAGTCATCGCTGCAGATCAGTTCTGAATTAGTGCCTTACATTTGCGTGGAAGGGACTGCATGCTCAAGGTGTCAGCGTCTTCACCCAAAAAGACAGTGTTGCGTAGCATATTAGGCTAAATCATTCATATATCCTAAAGATCATGAACGACTGTTATGTTAGTATGTTCCCTAATTCAAAGCTAGCGTATCTATGAATGTTTATTACAGGATAGATTTGAATACTAATGAAAACTAAGGAGAACTGAATAGTTGTTTTCTCCTTATTTGACGACCTATAAAGTGCCTACGTAGTAGCCTGAAAACGATGGGTTCAGTCGTAGTCATGGATATGTACTGCTGATAAGTCCCAAGGTAGAACAAAATGGCTCTCCAGTAGAGCGGTTTTCAGTTGTTCTCAAATTGACGTCAATAAAATCCACATAAACCTTAAATCTGAAAAGTATGATGCAAAAAGAACTGACAAGTAATAGAATTAACTAAAAAGAACATTATTAAAGTCAGGATAAAATAAGGATTTTATAAAACGGTTTTGGAAACAAAATTTAGGTTTTTTGCTTGTGTGTCTAGTTGTTCATCTACAAACCGATAACTTTCGGAGTGGTTGAATTTAATCCTGTAGAACGTTTTTAGAAGATGAGTCACAAAAACCTGAATAAGATATTTGCCAATGAATGATGTCGTTCTACGTTTATTTTTTCATCAGCCAGAGTTACTGTCCCACCTCACTAAAGATTTATTTCCTTCAAGTATTGGTTTTGTAGGGATTTTGTTTGATTGGATGGAGGATTATTTCCTTCAGTCTCACTCTAGACGATATCACTTATCAAAATAAATTTGTATATCTATTTCAAAAGAACTATTATACTTGGAACAGTTGTTATGGTGTGGTTCGAAAACTTCTTTTTGGAAGCTAAATAAAACAAGCTTTCCTATCAAATAAAAGTGATTGGATGACATATTTTGAAATAAAAGAGTAAATCTGTAGCTCAGTTGGATGCTTTCCATGTTGTTATGATCTCTGAACTGTATGGTATAGTTGTGAAGCTACCACCAGGCTTCCAGACGATATCCCCAGTTCTAACAACAATATGAAGTAGGTTTTAGGAATTCTCTATCACTGAAATGATCACCTTTCATGTTCACCTCTGCTATGA